GGCAATGCGAAGACCGCATGTGGGGATCAGGCTACGCCAAAAGATCATGGATCTCGATCAGAGAATGCGACCGTACCCAGCTTATTTTCAAAGTTAGCAGCCTCTAACTACCACCTCCTTTGATCCCTACCGCATCCTTTAGAAGAGCAAAAATTCCGAAAATCGACGTCTACTCGAAAATGAGGTCCTCTTCTTCTGTTAGTTGCCGTAGTTCTATAAGAATGGAAATGAGAAGCTGTGCAAAAGGTGGGCACTAGTCCTAGTCATTAATGGTGATTACCTTGTAGATTGGAAATGCTTTTAGTGAAGGAAAATTTGGTCCGAAATTTCGGTCAAATCTCGCAGGACTTTCCGTCCAACCTAATAATATGAAATCTGAGGCCAAGTGGTGAGCTTTGAAAGAAGCCTCTTGTCAGTTGAATTTTTGCAGCTGCGCTGAATTCCAACATATTACTCTAGAGCCTTCCGAATCTGAAGCTCAGAAGCTCGGTGGTACTATCGCGATTTAGGCGCTGAGAAACGGTGGGAGACCTCTTCATTTTAGGTCGTTTAAGACCTATAGAACAAGACAGACTAGTATTACTACTTGTCGCTCAGTGGAATCTCAGTATTGTTGTTAACTGCAGTGCGTTTATTTATGTGCCAACGAAGGTTCCCATGTAAAATCTTTAACAGTGGCTCAACCACTCAGCTAGATTTCATAGATTCTGCTCGGAGGTCTGAACACGGCTGAAGTTTTGAAAGTTGCTCTCTTATGCCTCTTCTCCTAGGCTCTCCATCAGGAAGCCAGAAAATCTAACATTACTTGTAAGTGAAAGGAACTTGCACGTTTCACAGCTCACTAGTGCATACACAGGAATCAGGATGAGGGTGCTTTCCAGAGCTCGCAACGCCACTGCCGGACCACTTAAGTCACCGAGCAATAAGCGACCATCAAAAGTGACTCACGCATTCCTCAACTTACCAATTCATATTTTATTTAGTTATTCTTGGAGGGTGAATTGATGAAATGTGAACCCACTAATTAGTTGTATTCTCTGATTGTCAAACTGCACCACGTATGCTCCTTGCTGCTTACAGTTCTCCAAGAATTTTTCAATTTTACGGTCTCCATGTCCGCAGCAACAACCCCCTCTGGAGCAGGAATCTGGAATCAAGGAGACGACAAGGCCAGTATCTAGAGCAACAAGTAATATGGGTCAGATTTCTTTGAATAAAAATAATTCCCTCACAACTAGCCATGGAGACTTTTCGAAAAAACTGCACCGTAAACAACACCTCATTCAAAAAGAAGTGTTTGTAAGACCCCAACCGGGGCATCCTAGGACAAATTCCAGAGTGTCTTTTCACTCTCTATTGAGCTCGCTTTCAGTTAACAGTCGGCTGGCAGCATTTCGGCTTGCAGGCCTGAAAACTTCTGACTCCATGGCTTTAGAACGACTTTAGAATTATGCTGCAGTGTCGAGGTCGTATTCCAGGGTTATCTACACGTGTAAAGTGAGTTAACAATGATCTGCGGACATAAAGATTGCGTTTTGAGAGAGCTTTATTCAATACTGTCACCACTAAAGGTGAAAATCATCATATATTCACAACATATAATTTGTACAATTTCTCGTAAAAACTGCTCAACTATAGTGTTTCTTTTACAACAAATCATTCGTAACGTCAAACTTTCTACGCCTAAGCAACTATCCGGTACAGTTTATTTCACGAAGCAGTAGCGCACAAAAGAAGGGTTGATTTCAAAAGAGATGCTCTCATCTACATTAAGCCTAGATACGCATTCGAAACAAGCTCGTTTTTGAAATATAAAATGGTGTTGCGGTAGAAATTTTCCAACATATGCATTTCCCTTTTCAAACGCAGCTATCAGCCAAACGCCTAGTATTGTGAATCCGAATTCGTCATTGTCTTTCGAGCAGTGCTAATATTGGGCACCACGGCGTTAGGACGTTTGCGAAGCCCCAGTGTTGTAAGTGCCTCTCGTTGAATTGTGCGGTTGAGTAGTAAGTAAACGATTGCAGGAAACCCTGAAAGGTACAAGTTTTCAATGTGTTCTGTTTGTATCGACATTTCGACCACTTCTGACCCATTTTCTATTATGATTCCATTATTTCAGCTTGACGCTTTGAAGTAGCTATAAACGGGCACAAGCAAGGCTGTTGCCCAACGAGGCGATTTTGTTTCACGGATTCAGGGTTTGTGAGACGGTGGGTGAAGAGGAGGATGACTTTAGCTTATGAGGCCAGATAATAGCTTGTCTCAGTGTACAGTCTCTCTCCATATATATGGTCAGTGCATAAAACATTGCGCCAAGGCGACACTGTTTGAAAGTGGTATATTGAGTGGGGCTCACTAGGATACTTTCAAAAGTAGCAGCATCATACCCTGTCCCGGCACTTGGTGTGCTACTTCATGCTGCAATTCGGAGCGAAAATCAGATGGTTCGCCACTCAGGTGTGTTCAGAAGATTTTTCTTTTTTAGCTAGGAAATTCTACTTCTGAAAAGAACAGTTTGAAATTACTCTAGAAGCGCATTTATTCGCAGTTCGGCTTAGTAGGAGAAGGAAATATTTTCACTCTGCTCTTTCGCTAATTCTCTTTGGCATTTCATGTCAAATGGAATGAAACAACTAATTTTCGCCCCAAAGTGAGGCTGTTGTAAAGTGTTGTACTAGTGATCCACTTCGAAGCATAAAGGTAAAGCCTTGGCTATTCAATCCCGTTTTGGATGCGGCACGCATTCCACTTACATTCAGGATCGTTTTGGCTTAATGAATGCGACATAACTTATACAATGGCTTCCAAGGGCCAGACGATGTGCAAGTCAGTGTTTCTACCTTTCCAGAAGAATCTGGTGCCAATTTACAGTCCCGAAGGCGTGAGATTTTATTGGTCTGAGCTGTAGTTGGATCCTGGATATCACCTCCACGTGGTGAGCAGATCACTTACCACTACACCACCTCCGCACTCAGTCCACCTTGCTCAGAGTAGTTTACAGACTTTCACAGGGATGATCCGCTGGGAACCATTTAGCGTCTCTACGGAGCCGTACTGTACCCGCACTTGAATGAAATGAATCGGGAAAAGCCAGCCTAGTGCAGGGGTTGATAGCAGTTCCCGAAGTAAAGGGGTTTCTTAAGTACGTGGCTCATTTTGAGTGCAACCAAGAAGGCCTTCAAGCCGTTATCATAGTCATAAGTATCATGAGTAGAAATTGATATTCAATGAAACTGTGTAGAAAAACGGGTGACATTACCATGTCCAAGCTGCCAGCAAATGTGACCAATCAAAACGAAATATGACGGCGTGGGGAAGAACTGCATGTAGACATAGATGAGTGCCGCAATCAAATTTGCCATACATATTGAGGAAGATTGTATGAAGAACTAAACGACCAAAGAGTTAAGCAAAACTGTACTACAACCCGAGGATCTCATCTTGTGAATTAGCAGTCTACTTATCTTCAACTAAAGGGTATTCGGAAAGAAAAGCTGTGTGACATTTGAAAAAGGAAAACGAGTAGTCTGATTTACGAGCTCACCGATTTCTGCGCCCATGATAGCCCGCTAGCCCCTTTCGAGTGACGTAAAAGTACTCTTGAGTATTGCACATAAAGTAAACATGTCAGTACAACGATAAGCAGATTGTTGATGGTGTGCGGGTAATTGAAGAACTGAAAGACAGAATGGGTAGAAGCTCTCGTATTTCAAATGTAGAAGTCACTACTACGAGAACCCTTACCAGGGAAGGCCGCCAACTTACCATGGAACTTTGAATGGAGACCTGGGTGGATCGATAGAGTCTATAAGGCTATTAACAAATATAGATAGCAAAACTGCAACGTGCATTCCACAAGGAAGTTATGAGCAGGTAAAGTTTGTAATGGTATAGTCGGGTGGAGGCTCGGTGGGAGCTGCGAAGGATAATCGAGGAATCGCGCAACGCAAATCGAGTCGGTGGTTCAGTGGTAAGGTTCTCGCTTTGCAGGCGCATCATGCTGGTTCGATTCCCGGAGGCGCTCATGTTTTTGCATTCCTGTTTTTACCTAATTTTTTGACTTGCGTACGGGTTAACACCTGGCCATCGTTTGATTCACGTTCTCGGCCTCTATTTACTGCGGAACCGGGAGCATGGAAGTTTCTGCTCCATTGTTTTCACCTAATTTTTCGACACCCACCAAGTACTTGGCGACTTTGCAGCAAGCGTGGTAGATCGAACCGGTCAGTGCCGATTTGATCTACCTCGATGGCGCGCGTGGCATTGATTTAGCATCAGTCGCCATGCCTTTCTCTCCAGCAAAGGTGGTTTCCATACTGGTAGCAAAGGTAGTTTTCTGAAATACTCGTGGTACAAAGGCGGGCACTATTGAACTCCATTCCTACCCCAAAAAACTCAAAAAAATTTTTTCGCTGAAACGTTGCCTATAGATGTAATTCGATGCGCTGATCACGAATATCACATCCGTTTCGAGCGCTGGCGTCATTTGGCGCCATTATGCGCCAATTTGGCGCCCACCACTTTTTTCACCAAAGTCGATGAAAACTTGCATATGGGGGTTAATTGAGGTCCTGATCGAATTACATCTTCAGGTAACGTTCTAAGCAAAAATTTTTTTTTGAGTTTTTTGGGGAAGGGATAGAGTTCAATAGTGCCCCGCCTTGTACCACGAGTATTCCAGAAAACTACCTTCGCTACCAGTATGGGCGAAAGAGGATGATGCGCCTGCAAAGCGAGAATCCTTACCACTGAACCACCACGACTCGGTTTGTGTTGCGCGATTCCTCGATTATCCTTCGCAGCTCCCACCGAGCCTCCACCCGACTACACCATTACAAACTTTACCTGCTCATAACTTCCTTGTGGAATGCACGTTGCAGTTTTGCTATCTATATTTGTTAATAGCCTTATAGACTCTATCGATCCACCCAGGTCTCCATTCAAAGTTCCATGGTAAGTTGGCGACCTTCCCTGGTTAGTTTTGAACAATAAAAATACACCCTAGGCAGGACACGAACCTCCACTTCAGGTTTGCCGGCCTAGTGTGCTCACCACTAAGCCACGAGGGCCGCCTTGCCCCTCTCATCCTATGATATTCATGCTTTAGATCAGCTTCTTGACTTGAAACAGAACACGTGAGGTGATTTGACAGAAATTCCGCAAAAGTGTTAGCTCCAATCAGCGCAGAATATGACTGTTTCAGCTTGAGAGCTCTCGAAACTTGAAGCACTGGGGCGTGCTTTTGTGATACACCTTATCGACTTTCCACTGCTCCAGTTTGCCTCAAACCCCGTAAACGTTGTAGTTCATCACACATGACTTACGTTTGAGCTGATTAAGGAAAGCAATGGACACGAAGGTTTACAGCTCTGGTTTGAAGTATTCTACATATTCTTTTCTCAGCTGTGAATGGGATACACGGGTCTCATTGTATCGCTTCAGGCCCGTTGAAGTTGGGCACGTGCTGTACACTCGTCTCCGAGAGCGGTTCTTCCAAGATATTGGAAAGAACGAACTATTTGCGTACTTCACGTTTCACTCTTCGTACAGTTTCACCACGCGAAAATAAGGGTCAAGGATAGCCATATCAGGGCGCCGTTTTTGGATTCCGACCTCTGCAGGGTTGTATTTGTGAATACCAAAATCTCTCAGCGACGCATGTAAAGGCGAAAACGCAGATAAAAGAAGCCGCGGACAAGGCAACAAAGGCAGAGAACAACCAGAAATGAGAGGGCGCAGACAAGAACCGCGTTTTGCTATTTTTAGGCCACTGGTTGGCCGTGCGCAGCCAGAACTGGAAACGGTACTTGCATACCACTGTCCTTCAACCCCACTCTCATGTACATTTGTGTGAGGAAAATCACCCCTTACTGCAGCTGATAACCCATCCACCCTTGCACATGGCAAGGGCCACAATCCTCAGAGATATGTGCAGTTTTTCCGAGGCATTATCAACGTGCGCCCGCTTTCAGTTACCATATCTGGAAAAGAAGTTTGAAAACTGTAAAATTTTCACACCTCGTCAATGCCATGTTTATCAGCAAACGTGCTGAAGAACCATGCTGTGTGATCCGAATTGAACAACAGAGGCTGAGTGAAAAGTATGAAATAGAGGCTGTAGGATAACGGGACTAATAGAACGACGTAGGTGCGCGCGTCCTTGAACAGCTGAAACGGACGGAATTAACTTTCACGTAAGTTGTTGTACCCCTCATTTTTAAACACAATTTTCACAGTACCGTTTTCGCCTTTCGAGTAAGAAAAATTGTACACATTGGGACTTGTTGTGAAAGTGATGAAAACCGGTAAAGTTAAGATGTTTGAATTCGTGAAGACGCTTGTACCAACACATACCGCTACACTACGCTACCTCTCCCCAGTTATCATCGAGTTCCTCAAACAAGACAAGTTACTAAATAGGTGCCATTGAGATGAAATGAAAGAGTCAGCTAACTAAGGATGGTTCTGAAGTTGAAATGACCCTGGAGGGACACCTTTCGTTCACAGGCAGAACGAAAATTGATGGATTTTTTGCCTGGTTCTCTGCGCTGAGAGGCGGAGATGGTGTAGTGACAAGTGGGGCGCTCACCATTCGCGCGGTCCCGGGTTCGAATCCCGGGTCGACTCCCGCCCAGGCCAACCAAGCCTTCTACCCTCCGGGGACGGTAAATTGGTACCAGATTCGTCTGGGAGGATAAAACACTGACTTGTACATCGGCTGGCCACCGCAAGTCATTGTATAGGCCACATCGCATTCAATAAGCCACTACGATTCTGAATGGAAGTAGAATGCGTGCCGCATCCCACAAAGGGATTGATCAACGGCGAAGACTTTATCCTTTTTATCCTTTATCTCTGCGCTGAATGCACAGCCATACCTGGGCTACGTCTAGGATTCCAAGGCCTCAATTTGTTAGAAGTGAAAACGACATTGTGGCTAGCGTCGCTCCAACGGTACCTGATCCGACGCTTCTCTAAGCCAACTGAACTTTCCTTCTTTTTTTCCTGCCTGGTAGTAGGGAAAAATAAATACCTGTTCAGCGGACAATGAAAAAACTTGAACTGTAAAGAAAGCAGTCAAATGCCAATACGGCTTTTAGTTTGATTAGTGACGATTCCCATAACATAGAGTCATCGCTTGACGTGCAAGCCACAGAAGTCACTTACCATTTGCATCACCTGCTTATTCCAAAGATCGAGCAGCCGATTGATGACTAGAACGAAGCAAATCATACATGCGCCGCACCATAAACCTGAAATATTCCTCGTTGCAACTATCAAACATTGCGCAATAGTTAATGTAGTCTCCCAATAGCCACCTTCTCCAGGTATTATTTTTCTTTTTACTCTGTTCTGGTTATCTAGAAGAAGCATTTTATGAACCTAGAGAGAAACATGCAAAGCAACATGTCGGTATATTTGGCTCTAAGCCGTCGATTTCTTGATCTCTACGGCAAGATCGATGACTATTCCCAACCTGGAGACTAAATAAACATAAGCCATCTAGTTCTCTTTTTGGAGCACTGAATGTGGTTGTTACAATCCTTGCGAAAGAAATCTTCTGAGCTGCAAATTCTGAAAAAAAGCATGTGCATCAGAAGAGTCTAGAAGCACTGCTTGGTTTTCATTTCCTTTCACCCATTCTGCAGTTGCAGGCTAGAGTCGCGGTAAGTCTACTTCCCCATAAAATACGGGAGACAGCGTTGTGACCATCGTCAGTTTTCGATCAAGCAACCTGGAAATTTTGGGGATCTAGGATACTACCTTTTTTTGCAGCTCGTTATGATGAATTTCGGTCATCGAACTTTGAGGGTAACTTCTGAAGTAGCCAGATTGTGTAAGATTGCTATCTAGAGGAAGATTAGGGACAAAATCATCAGTAAGGAACTCCCTTTCCTTATCCCACCCGCTCAAAGATAGCGTCCATCACTCAAGGAACTCGGCGGCTTGCGATGTGCTTTATTTTTCGGAAGATTATAGTTTGTTACAGAACTGCAGCCTGAAAGATGTATTTCCTAGCGCTGTCTCTCGGACAGTAAAAAAGAGATTTTTGTACCATGATTGAAGAACATGTAGGCTATCATACTTGGGCTGAAATTGTGCTTCGCAACATAAAGAAGAAACAGATCTTGGATATCGGAGAGGCACCTTTTCAGTTTGGTTTTATTATGAATAAAGATGCTTACCCAGCCCGGCAGATCCAGCGACATACATCAAGCGGGGCATTAAACAGTAATTTGCGCCGATCATCCAGAAGTATCCGGTCAGCAATGAGTTCACCCCGATCGCACACATATCGTATAGGCCTGAAAAGCCATGATAGTTAAGTTTACACGTAGAGTGGAAGTACAGAAAATTTCCTCGAATAGTGCTTCTACTGAATATCGGAGACCAATGCAGCGGCCTCATTCTAATCAGATCTTGGAGAGATTCTGGTAAGGCTGAAAAAGCTGCGGTGGGAGCTGCCCGTGATGTGCACTTTTAAAAGTACCCCTCAATTTTGCGCTACACCATCTTGACAGCACAGCTAACATCACATGAGGTATTATCAAATATCGAGTACTTCTTTTACCTCAGACATTACACAGGAAGCGCTGTCGGTGCTTGTTTCATATGAAACGGTAAAAAGCAACATTTTCCTGTCATTTTTCGGTGTGTAGAAGGTTTTACAGCAGTAGCTGTTGTCACTTTTTCTTAGTAAGTGTTATCAGTGAAACTGAATGCCGCCCGTGTGAGAAAAGTTGAAGAAGCTCCCTCAATTGGAATACTTTTGGGAAAGGCCGTGTGACGAACAACGCCAGAAAACATACCTAGGACAAGCATGATTTTGTAGCACGAGAGGCGACGATACTGCTTCCTTACGATGACTTGTAATACCAAAACGTATAGAAGCTGAAATTTATTGGATACTTTGATCATTTCATGGACGTTCTTCAATTCAACAAGCGATCGAATTATTGATTTCTGGGGCTCCAAGCTCCACCTGCATCTATTGGCAAGTTCATCTAGAAGCAAGTGAACTTTTTGTTGAGAAAGTGCTAATTTTAGAGGGGGTCCTTTGAACTGCATTTTTTCTAGGAATAGAAATTGTTGCGGAGGCTTCTAGAAATTGCTCCAGGACGAGAAAACTCACTTATCGCACTGCTGATAACAAAAGGATCACCCCTAGTTCCAGTCTTGAGTGCTTTGCAAATTGGAGGCACGCTCCGTTTACTTGGTGTTCAGGTTGCCTTCTTTGGACATGATAATCCTGCGTGCGAGAGAACGTGCCACTCAAGCAGCTCAAAGATACGCGAGGAACGTGGACTTGCACGCGACGATGCCGCGGCCCCACGCAGTGACCCTGGCAACGCCCAACTGTTAATAACTCCGTCTTCTAAATCTCCTGCGCAACTCTCTTATCTGTGCTGCGGGGTTCTTTTCAGAGAAATCTGGCTTCACATTCAAGGTGGAATACGGCCAGCTGCTAAGAACGTGAGATAAACTACATTAGATAACAACTTAGCAGGCATGTGGCAATCACATCACCTGAGTCACGCAGCACATTTATAATCTCTCTAGAAAAAAAACTCCGCGGTTTTTTTTGGAAAGGGCAGATGCGGGAGACCGTTTCGTAATCCTTGTCCGTCGACAGTGATGATGGCGTTGGAGGATGCCGCGAGGAGTCGTCTTTGGTCGTGGGGGGAGAAGGGTCGTATTTACTCGGAGGTGGTCGTGTTTGCTCTTTGTTGGGAGAGCGGGGGTCGTACTTGCTTTTGAGAGAAATATGCAGCGTTGGGAAAAAATTTGTCTCGGTGGTTGGAGGAAAACTGGAAAATTTTCGAATTACGGACAAATTGGAACAGTGGTAGAAAGTTGAGAAAATGTGGGAATATAGGAAAGTAGTGGATAGGATGGAGAAGGGGGGAGGTTGTATCAAAGAAGAAATTAGTGGGATGTCTATTTTCCGAAACTTTTCCCCAGCGGCAGGACGTGTCCTCCTACAAATAGTGATTGGTTAGTGATCAATCCTTGAAGAAAACAACCAGGGGAGAACACCTGCGATGGCCTCATTCCATGCCTCTTGACA